GCAACCCCCACTTCTTTTTTGGGCGGGTTTTTTTATTTTGGGGGGGCATTGGGGTTTCCCCGGCCTAATTTTTCCCCCCTAATTAAAAAACACTCGAGGCCCTTAGCAGTCAAAGCCCTGCAAAGGGACACCTGAGTAATATGCGGACTTGAGACATCATATCCACTGCTCTATTCGCGGACTCCATGTGAGGGATACGTATTACAAGTAAATCTGTACACGTAATTAATGGAGCTGATTGCTCAAGATCTTCCCACTCACTCCATGGGATCAAAATTTTGTCGAGTTAACCTATCGTTTCGCTAAACAGATCCTTTCTAGAACGGCGCGGGAAAGAAGGAATCCAAAAGAATAAGAGAGGGGGAAATTTTGCCTATTAATTTTTTTTTTTTTTTTTTTTTTTTTTTTTTTTGCCTCGGTAGTTAACCCAGGCATCAAGGGTTATAAAATCCCTTACATCATGAGACGGGACCTGTGGCTGTGCAAGGAAAAAACCAGGTGTAGCTCATACAATTCAAGTAAAAGATAAAACACGTCATCACTTACTTCCCTTGAATGGATATCGGATGTCCATGACGTTAACCAGAGCCCAGTCGCTTTGTACACTAAAATGGAGGAAAGGACATGATTTTCATTCGGGAAAATCGTAGTTATCCAATAGTTAGTTATAGAATAAATCTGTGCCGCTCGCATGCATAACTTCCAATTTGTTATGTTCACCAGAGGAAAAAAAAAAAAAAAAAAAGAGAAACGCAGCAGCTGATGAATAACCTCTTTTGCAGCATGGGGGGGGAAAGGAGCAAAAGAAGGCTTCAAATGCTCAGTATTTAACAGACGAGGCATGTTAAGTTAGTTTAATATCCCCTTTCAATTCTTGCGTGTCAATGCATGGATTGGATCTATTGATATCTTCGTCATGGGTGTAATGCGAAATGCCCACGTTTGTTTGCTTGTTTTCTGTACGCCCGTATGTATGCGGTGAATGTTGGACAGTGTTGTTTCCCTGTTTCACACACACATATACATATATTTAACTCATCAGCGAATGACAACCCGGCCCAATAACTGCTATTATTGATCGCATACTCTTCTATAAA